TGGTACAACAAGTATTTGCTCAATGGCAATTTTATGATTCTGTTATAATTCAGAGGTTCAGGAAAGCTAAATGACTTAGCAATGATGGTAACAGGGAAGTTTTAGTTCAATTAAATTTAGACGAGTTTATTTGGGCAAAGCAAAACCAGAAAGAATTAGGGAATGGAGCAGCCCCAGAACATAAGCAAGTTCTGAGAACCACCAGCAACCTGAGCGATCACACATCATTAACTTAATTGGCTGCAGCCTACCCAATCAACCAATTGGTAACACCTTATCCAGTTCATTGCATACAGCCCAGTTAGTTAACTGCTACAGAGCTTTCCCCCAGCCACCTAAGCCCAGTGACCGGCTTGACGTTCAGTTCAAATCCATGGCCTCCCACAAAAATCCAGCAATGGCCACACAGTCAAGTAACGTTAGCAGGAAGCAGAAACCACATCAGTACGCGTCTTAACCTAAATTACTTCCAGCTGTCTCTTGCGTGTGCTCAAATCAAAAAATACGCCTTAAGCTGGAGTCCAGGTGAGGCTTCGTTCAAGATGGACGCTTGAGACAACCGTGTTTTCCTGTGCATTTTTGAGGGAAGGGCTCAACACATGCCCTAAGTCTCCATCTCTAACAGGTTTTTAAAAACCTTTCGGCGCCTGGATGCCCTGTAGACAACGCTAGAGAGCCCGGGCGTCCACTCACGAATCTGTGAACGACGAATACGACGTACATTTCCAATGCATGCCCCTTTTGAGAAAAGTTGCTCCCCGCCCTGGAACACTCCCGAAGGGGCAGCTCGGTCCCCGGGCAGGGGTGAGGGCCAGCGTTACAGTCTGCGCTTTGGGGTACGAAGGCAGACACGACCCGCAGGGCTGCAGCCCGTCACGTCTGGGGAACAGCAGGCACCAAGCGCCCGCGACCCTCAGCCACAGGAACCCCAAAGTCTCTCCCACCCGCCAGGCCAGGCGTCACGCCCTGACTCCTCCTAGGAAATCCGCACTGAGAGATGCAAACCGAGGCCCTGGGCGATCTGTCACTTCGACAAGGAAGCTCCACCAGCGCAGCCCCAAAGGCTCAAACCGCGTCAGTCGGAGCGGGACCCGCAGCTCTCACCCTGCAGGCCTCCGGGACCGCACCCGGCCCGGCGGAGCCATCTGGCTGCTCTCTGCTCCCGCGGCGCCCAGGAAACTCCCGCCAAGCCCCGCGCCGTTTAGAACGGCCAATCCGGGCCGCGCACGCGCCCTGCCTCCCCTCGGCCTGGGTCCCCCGCCCAGGGCCCGCGGCTCCCGTCCGGCCTTGGGCGTAAGTGAAAACGTGGTCCGGATCAACAACTGCAACGGAGCTGGAGGCCAGGCCTTCAAGCTGCCGCTGACGGGCCACCAGAAGGAATCCCACTTTTCCGGGTTTTCCCTCCCACCCTAGCCCGGGGCCTGTTTCTCAAGGCTCCGACGGGGGCGGGGCTAGTGCTGAGACGTGGGCGGGCGCGCAGCAGGAAGGGGCGGATCCCAACCCGAGGCCCCAACTGTAGCTTCAGTTGAGCTGTGAAAGCGGATTGAGCCACGAGGCCCCGGGGGCGTTAGAAGCAGCTGCCTGAGCCCTGTGTGCTCCTGCTTCCCTCCCCAGATCTCTGTAATGGGGCGGGTTCCTACCGGAGCCAATAGTCTGCGATTCTTTTCTTTCTGTTTAAAAAGGCGTTATAATACAAAAAGATGAATTCGCATATAAATAAGATGAATGTAAAAATATAAATCTATGAGAATGTAAATATAAAATGAACTCAAAATGGATCAAAGATCTAAGTGGAAGAGCTCAAAGCACAAAACTCTCAGAAAGGAGGACCCTGCTGTGGCGTAGCAGGTAAGGTCATCATCTGCAGTGCTGGCATCCCATATGGACACTGGTTCCTGTCCCGGCTGCTCCACCTCCGATCCAGCCCTCTGCTCTGGCCTGGGAAAGCAGTAGGAGATGGTCTAAGTCCTTGTGCCCCTGCACCCGTGTGGGAGACCCGGAAGAAGTGCCTGACTTGAGATCAGCGCACCTCGGGCCCTTGCAGCCAATTGGGGAGTAAACCAGCAGGTGGAGGATCTCACTTTCTCTCTCTCTCTCTCTCTCTCTCTCTCTCTCTCTCTGCCTCTCCTCTCTGTAACTCTTTCAAATAAATAAATAAATCTTAAAAAAAAAAAAAAACTCCTTAGAAGAAAAATAGCGCAAAAGCTTCACAAAATTGGTAATGAAAAGATCCTGGAGATGAAAACTGGATGGCTGAGCAGCCACATGACTCTGCTTAGTGCCATAGAACTGTTCAATTAAAAAACATTTAGCCATGAGCTTTTGGCAAAGAGGTTTAAGATGCCCGTTTAGGAGGCCTGGATCTCATTTTGGTGTGCTTGGGTTCTGTTCCCACCTGGCTGATTCCAGCTTCCTGGTAATGCAGCTCCTAACACGAGCTTCCTTGTTCAAAGAAAACTCATTTATTTGAGAGAGTGAGAGGGACACACACACACACACACACACAGGTCTTCCATCTGCTGGCTCACTCTCCAAATGGCTGCAAAGGCTGGGGCTGTCCCAGGAGAAGCTGGGAGCCCAGAACTCCTTCTGGGTCTCCCATGGGGACTCAAAACAGCACCCATATGGGATACCAGTGTTGCCAGCAGCGGGTAACTGACAGCACAGTGCCTGCCGTTCCCCAGCTGCCTTGTACTGTGCACTCTGGGAGGCAGTGGTGATGGTTTCAGTACTTTGGTCTCTGCCACCCACAGGGAGACCCAGATTGAATTCCCTGCTCTAGCTTCTTTGCCTGGCTCAGCCCTGGCTGTTGTGGGCATTTGGGGGTGAGCAAGTGAATGAGAGAGCTATCTCTGTCTTTCTCTCCCTCCCTTTCAAATGAACGAAATAAGTAATTTTAAATGGTTAAAATGCTACATTTTGTATGAATATTTGCACTACAAAATGCAACATGTGACAGTGCATACACAAGTATAAAACATATATAATGTAAAGAGTAGGGTGAGCGTGCCTACAACCACCACCGAGTTAGCGTACATAACTGGGATGCTGGTCTATTAGTCCTCTGAAGAACAGACACTCTTAGGAGTTTATGTTGATCACTCCTATGCTGTTCTACCAGATACAACCCTGGATAATGTACCAATTATCGTATGTATCTAAATGACTTTTGTAGGTATTGGGAGTTCTATTTCTTACGTGGAGCTATGCTTTTATATTTTTTATTTCATTTTATTGACAGGCAATTAGACAGTGAGAGAGAGAGAGACAAAGGTTTTCCTTCCGTTGGTTCACACCCCAAAATGGCCGCTATGGCCGGCGCACTGAGCCGATCCAAAGCCAGGAGCCAGGTGCTTCCTCCTGGTCTCCCACACTGGTGCAGGGGCCCAAAGCACTTGGGCCATCCTCCACTGCACTCCCGGCCACAGCAGAGTGCTGGACTGGAAGAGGAGCAACCAGCACTAGAACCTGGTGCCCATATGGGATGCTGGTACTGCAAGGCAGAGGATTAACCAAGTGAGCCATGGTGCCAGCCCCCAGAGCTATGATTTTTAGATTTACTCACATTGTATCCACATCCATATGTAGCTGAAGTTCATTAATTTTCATTGCCTTCTAAAATGCATTCAGTAACTATACCACAGTTAATCTTTACTTCTTGTGTACACATACATCAGTTGTTTTCAGTCTTGGTATCATCAACAAGGTAGTCCTGAACATTCTTGTGCATGTGTGCATGCATGTCTCTTTGAAGAAGCCTGGATCTTCTTCTGGGTCTCCCCAGTGGGTGCACTTGAGCCGTCGTCCACTGCATTCTCAGGAACATTAGCAGAGAGCTGGGTAGGAAGTGGAGCAGCCGGGTCTGGAACTGGCACCCAAATGAGATGTTAACATCACAGGTGGGGGCTTTACCAGCTACACCATACTGCTGCCCCTCCCCCCCATTGCATTTTGATTTTCCTGTCCCTTAAGGTGTCATCTCTTCATCGTTTACAGCTCATTCCCATTTCCTCTTCCATGATGCGCTTGTGCAGGCTCCTGGGCAGCAGCCATGAAAGGGTAATGACCCTTAGGGACTGCAGGTAATTTCCCCACCAACAGGAAGAAACAGGGGTTCTTGGAGGGGACTGGGTTGGAAGCTCCAAATTCCAGGCAAGGGGGGATAATGAAACTTCTGTGCTTGCAGGCCTGAAAAATGAAACTTCCCAGCTATGAAGACAGGAAGAGTTTCAGCATGCTGGATGGAAATAAGACAAGCTCCCCCCAAGCAGGTTTCAGAATGAAAAGGAGTTCATAGGCTTGTCACCGGAAAGCCCTGGGCAGGCTAGGGCATCAAGCTCAGCTTCCCCCCAGGGTCCGGGAGGCATCAGCGCTTTGGATCCGTTTTCTTCTTCTCTCCTGGTTCGTCAACTCTTCATCAGACCCCAACCCCCGTGTGCCTGTGCCACTATGGAAGCTGTGACTCTCCCTCCCTCCTCCCCTGGCCCAGGCTCAGGGATCCGTCACTCTATGCTCTACTTCTATGATGTCAGCCCTTCTGTGATCCCCACACAGGGGAGATGGCCCAGCGTTTGTCTTTCTGTGAGAGCCACCCACCCTCACCTCCATCACCTGCCCAGGGTGCACACAGGGACCAAACATCACACGGGACCAAAGCCATGCACACATGGTGAATTTTATTCATGAGAAGCATGTGGAAATGCTCAAGAAAAGTTCAGTCAGCTCAGCGGATAGCTCCTGGAGACGGGGGCGGGGCGAGGCTACTTGGGGACCACTCTGCAGCAGCTGCCAGGGCTGCTCACTTGGGATGGCAGGATGCAGCACGCCCTCAGCAGGAACCGGAGGATCCTCCTGCCGACCCCGCGACAGCCCTGCCTCTTGCCCTGGGCGCTGGCCTTGGTGTCTGTGGTGTCAGCATCCTTGGGCTCACGGGATGCTGGCCGGCGGCGGCTTCTGGCTCTGCAAGGTCCACGTGGCTCCCGGCACTGGGGCTGGAGGGTGACGCTTCGGAGGCTGGCTCAGGGGCGGCGCTGGGAACAGGGCTCCACTCTTGCTGTGGCTGGCCTGGTAGGAGAGAGTCAAGTGTGGGGTCACCTTGGGGCCTTGGGCTCAGCTCCTGGAGGCCCCGAGGCAGGGGGGAGGGTAAGACTCACTGGAGGCCTGGGAGGAGTTGGGGGCGGCGCTGGGAGCAGGGCTCCTCTCCTGCTGTGGCTGGCCTGGTGGAGAGAGTCAAGAGTGGGGTCACCTCGGGGGCCTTGGGCTCAGCTCCTGGAGGCCCCGAGGCAGGGGGGAGGGCCAGACTCACTGGAGGCCTGGGAGGAGTTGGGGGGTGGTGCTGGGAGCAGGGCTCCTCTCCTGCTGTGGCTGGCCTGGTAGGAGAGAGTCAAGAGTGGGGTCACCTCAGGGGCCTTGGGCTCAGCTCCTGGAGGCCCGAGGCAGGGGAGAGGGCAAGACTCTCTGGAGGCCTCGGAGGAGTCGCTTTGTGCGGAGGAAATATTGACAGACATGCTTTCAGAGGACACTGATACCACAGACAAGCGGTCCTTCTCTGTGGGGTGGCGCTCCCCGCCCTGTGAGGACTCGGGCAGGGATGCAGAGCCCTGGGGCTGAGGGCCTGGTGTCCCCTCAGTCCCCGTGCCTGGCAGCAGGCCGAGGCCCGCCAGGTACTCCTTGGCCTCTGAGTCGCGGGGAATGCCCAGGGGCTGCAGCAGGGTGACAGCGGCCTCCTTCTCCTCCTGGGTGGCTTCTCGGCCGGAATCGAACCACCAGTGTGCCCTGGCATCCTCTGCACTGGGCCTCCCCGAGGCGTCGACAGTGAGCAGCCAAGCCAGTAGCTCCCGCAGGGCCGGGCTGACGGCACGCGGCAGCACATAGCAGGCACACAGCACCGTGTCCTGCAGCTCCTCCGTGTCCTTGCCGCGGAAGGGCAGCGTGGCCGCCAGCATGGCAAACAGCACCACCCCCAGGCTCCACACATCAGCCTTAAAAGCGTCATAGGCCTCCCCGAGGAAAACCTCTGGTGCGCAGTACTCGGGGGTCCCCCAGAAGCCCCTTACCAGTGTGCCCTGCTCCAGCCGCAGGCTCAGGCCGAAGTCCGCCAGCTTGATGGTCATGTGCTCGTCCAGCAGCAGGTTGCCCAGCTTGAGGTCCCGGTGCACCACGCGCTGGGCATGGCAGTAGCTCACGGCGGCCAGCGCCTGGCCGAACAGGGTCCTGGCCTCGGCCTCGGCCAGGCCGCCCTGCTCAAACACGTAGCTCTGGAGCGAGCCCTTGGTCGCCAGCTCCATGACCAGGAACAGGTGCGTCCTCGTGTGCCGCTCCTCCAGCAGCCGCACGATGTTGTCGTGCCGCAGGCTCCTCAGGATGGCTGCCTCCCCCTGCGCGGACAGCGGGCTGCTGGGAGAGCAGTCTCGCAGGAGGATCTTCACTGCCACGTACTTGCCCGACGCCAGGTGCCGGGCCAGCTTCACCAGGCCAAAGCCGCCCCGGCCGATTACGTCCACAAAACGGATCCCATCCAGAGGAGGATGGAAGTCCAAGGGGTCTTCCATGATGCCGGTCACCTAACTACGCTCTCTCGACTCCCTAAATCACTCGACGCACACTAGCTAATCACCGATCCTCACTGCACTGCCTACAACACAAAGGGACCACGGGGGACTGACTACCCAGCTGACTAAGACACAGCACCAGCTACTCTCACTACTCTAGCGGCGATGCCGCAAGCCTATCTCAATAATGCAGAAAAACAAAGAGGAAAAGCCACTAAATCCTCGAACGCTGATACTTCTGAGTGTGCTAGCTGACTAGAGTGGGGGAAGCAAAAATAAAGAAAACTGCAAAAAAAGACCAAATGGGCAAAACAACAACGAGGAGGAAAACAACAAACTAAACAAAATGGAAAAAAAGCAAAAACCAAATAGACCCAGAAACAAACAACCAAGAAAAAGCACAAGCAACACCAATGAGCGCAAAGGCTGGTTAGATGGGTCCTAGTTACACAGATCACAAAAGAGTGCTCTCTGGGTAAGGCGGACAAAAATCTAGGCCCCCGCAGCAGCTATATATACTTTTTGGGGGTTCACCTCACATAATGGCGCCTTGTGAGAGCAGAGCAAGAAATGGACCAATCACAGCCCAGCCAGGGACTGTGTAATATGACTTTCATAACAGTGGTGACTTATGAAGTCAGAGCAAGAAATTGACCAATGGGAGCTGTAGTTCATCCACAGTGGTTTTTCTCGATAATCTTCCAATAAAATTAAAACGATACCCAAAGAGTTTTGGCCTAGGTTGGTGATAGGGCTTGATACTTAATTTTTGAGAAACTCCAACCTATAGATTGCTTGGGTGGCCTTCTCATTACTAGTTTAAATATGATGATACGTTGCATCTTTTGAAGACCTCCTAGTGTCTCCACTTAGTATAGCCCCTCCTTTGTCTTTACTCTCTGAGTGATGGGTCTCAGAATGATGGAACAACATCTCTGGCCTCGGTAAACTCAACAAGTGTTCTGCTGCCCAAGACACCGCCAGGTACACTGTTCGCACCTCCAGAGCTGAGAGGAAGGTGGCTCTGTCACCCTTTCCCCCCTAAGTCATCGTCAGATTTCTTGGCAGAAACCCTGGAAGCCCAGAAGGTAGTGGGGTCTGTGCAGTCCAAACATGGAAGGCCCAATCAGAGGCAGCCGAGAAAGCTACATCCTCTGAGACTGTCCTCCACCCGGTAGGGAGGAATCGAGGCACTGCCAGGCACTTGGGGTTTTTGGGCTCCTGTAACAACAACCACCAAAACTCCTGGCTCCTGGCTTCAGCCTGGCCAAGGCCTGGAGGTCATTTATGGGCTGTATCAGAGGATGGAGGAGCTCCCTAGCTCCCTCTCCCTAGCTCCCTCCCTCCCTCTCTCTCTCTCTCTCTCTCTCACTAGCACTCTCTCTTTCCCCTCTTCACTCTCACACACATAGAATGCACTTAGGAAAAAAGGAGAAACTCCCTGCTTCAACTCCTCAGGTCCTGCACTGCCCAGAACTAGGACGGGACGATGGCCGCATCACAGCCTCACATCTGTCTCCTTGGGACAGCTTCGTGCTGAGCCCTCAGGAGCAGTGTTTCTCCAAGGAAGCGACAAACTCATCTGTCGCTCCCCTGTCTTCATGGGGGAACGACACTAAACCCTGCCTAGGCTTCATATCCGAGTCACGGCACCATTATGTCGCTCCCCGTCTTCGTGGAGGAACGACACAGGACCCTGCGCTGTTCTTTCGTCTGCTCGGCCCTCCCCGGGTTTGCTGCTGGTTCTTCCCGGGGTGGCTACCGTCCCTTCCACCTCAGTGGAAGGGCGGATTTCCCCCTGCCACATTCCCCACTTCCGCGGGGGAGCGGCACACCGCCGGCCGGCTCTCTCGGGGGCTGCACAGGTGTTCCCCTTAGATGTTCCCCTTAGATGTTCCTGGTGCATGCCGTCTCTCTCCTCCTTTATAGTCCTCTTCCACCAATCCCAACTCTGCTACCCACACGCCGAGTACGCTGCTCTCCTCCAATCAGGAGCAAGTCCTACAGTTTATTGCTGAACTGGAGGCAGCTGTGTAGAAGCTGTTTTCTTCTCTCCCAGCGCCATATTGTGGGAGAGCAGATGCATAGAATAAGTCTTAATTCCAGTAACTTAGTCTAGTCCGAGTTGCTCCCCACACTCATCTCAGGTAGGAAGTGAGCCCGGTAACCCTTGCCCCACATAGCAAGTGGATCTGTGTCTCCTGCAGTTCTTGAGGAGCCCCCAGGGCCCAGCACAGCCATGGGCCCCAGGAACACATGATGGTCCCCTCTGCACCGACTGCCCACACCCTCTTGGGAGAGGAACCCCTCCCTGGGGAGATGACCCCCTCCTCCAGGATGTCCAGGGACACTGCACAATGCGATTTCTCCATGATTTCCTGCAGTGCTGGTCACCTCCTCAGGGCTGAGAGGAAAGAACCAGCACCCCAGGAATTCTCACTACAGTTTTGCTACAAAAGTCAAAAAAATTAAATTATGAAGACGTTGGGGACTGTTTTCCATTAAGCACAGGTAAAAACTCATCTTTGTAATAAGGTTGGAGTTTTTGAAGGCAGATCAAATAAAGATGAAACTCAGGATACTACCAAAACATCACCAGATATAGAATTCAAAATTTATTTAGGTGCAAAACTTTTGAAAACCTGTGCATAGTTTGTCCTTAACATACTTTGCCCGTGAATGTTTTGTATCCCCTCTCCTATGCGTGAATTTCAAAAACTGCAACAAATAAGCTCATCCTTTATTTCCATTTTCCATGAGGTTTTCCAAGTCCCTTCAAGTAACCCAGTTCGAAGGAAAAACAGAGTTCCCATACGGACTGCAAAACAGCGTCGGCAAGGACGAGAGACACACCACAGCTCTCCTTCTCATCACTCTCCCCAGTGCTGGTGGGAGCCTTGCAGACCCATGTGGTTTTTAGAAAATTCATCTCCCCCAAGGTAAGTGATGGCCCTGAGGACTCTGTGTCCCCCAGCTCTGCTCAGCAGTAGCCTGAACATGCTGTGGAAAGTCCTATCTTGTCCACGCTGGACTAAAATGAGGAGGCGGAATCTCTGTGGGCACTGCCCCAAGAATTCAATTCAGTGTAAATCCCAAAGGAAACTGCTAAGAAAATGTCTTATTAGACTGTTTTATTTTTAAAACTATTTATTTGAAAGGTGGAGTTACAGATACAGGGAGACAATAAACACACACGGGTGGAGACAGAGAGAGAGAGGAAAGAGGGGGAGAGAGAGAACTTTCATTCACTGGTTCACCTGCCCTGCCCCCCCCCCCACAAATGGCTACCATGGCTTAGACTAGGCCAGTCTGAAGACAGGCACCCAAACTCCATCCAGGTCTCCCCTCAGTTGGCAATGCCCCAAGTAGTTGGCCATCTTCCTCTGCCTTCCCAGGCACGTTAGCGGGGAGCTGGATCAGAATCAGAGCAGCCGGGACTCAAACCAGCCTCCTGATATGGGTTGCCAGTGTCACAGGTGGCAGCTTTACCTGCTATACCACAGCACTGGCGCCTAAATTCTGAAGAGCCAAGGCGCCTCCATTTTAAAAAGTAGCCTCCATTTTCTGGAGCAGGCCCAAGTTCCCGTAAATGCAAACATTCAACAGTTACCAAAACCAAATAAGGAATGCCCTGGGCCCGAGCCAATCAGGATCAGACTCGTCCAACCAAGAGCTCCCAGGAATGGCACCGTTCAATCCACTGTAGCCCCGTACCCCAAACCCTTGCTGATGTAACACTGCAGCTTTGTCTTTTAAAAACGCTCCCGAACAAAGCTCAGGGCCTTCCTCTGACCTCCACTGCGTCGGTTGGTTAGATGAGGTCCCTGCCGCAGCTTATACTTCCAGAGTAAACCTTGCTTTTGCATTTCGGTGAGATCAAGTCTCTGGTGATTTTTGGGGATTCAGTGATCTGGGCATAACAGTTTCTTCTAAGATTTATTTATTTGAGAGATCCGTGGACAGACAGGGATTGATCTTCCATCCTCTGGTTCACTTCGTACATGGCCGCAACAGCTAGGGAGGGTCAGTTTAAAGCCAGGAGCCTACGGGGCTGGCACTGTGGTGTAATGGGTTCAGCCGCGGTGCAGTACTGGCATCCCATATGGGTGCTGGCTTGAGTCTCGGCTGCTCCACTTCCAATCCAGCTCCCTGCTAATGTGCCTGGGAAAGCTGCGAAAGATGACCCAGATGCTTAGGCTGCTTCTCCCACAGTGTAGACCCAGAAAGCTCCTGGTTCCTGCTTCCACCTGGCACTTCCCTTGCCATTGTGGCTATTTGAGAAGTGAACCAGCAGATGTAAGACCTCTCTCTTTGTATGTCTGTCTGTCTCTCCCTCTCCCCTTATACTCTGTGTGTGTGTGTGTGTGTGTGCATGTCTTGTCTGTTTGTCTGTCTGTATTCCTCCCTCTCTCTCTGTAACTCTGCCTTTCAAAAAAATAAATCTTTTTGGCCGGCGCCACGGCTCACTAGGCTAATCCTCCGCCTTCCGGCGCTGGCACACCAGGTTCTAGACCCGGTAGGGGTGCCAGATTCTGTCCTGGTTGCCCCTCTTCCAGGCCAGCTCTCTGCTGTGCCAGGGAGTGCAGTGGAGGATGGCCCAAATCCTTGGGCCCTGCACCCTGGGAGACCAGGATAAGTACCTAGCTCCTGCCATCTGATCAACGCAGGGTGCCAGCCGCAGCACGCCGGCCACGGCGGCCATTGGAGGGTGAACCAATGGCAAAGGAAGACCTTTCTCTCTGTCTCTCTCACTGTCCACTCTGCCTGTCAAAAAATAAAATAAAATAATCAGAAAATAAACCTTTTTAAAAAGCCTAGAACTCCACCCAGGTCTACCACAGGGGTTGCAGGTGCCCAGGTACTTGGATCATATGCCGCTGGTTTCTCAGGTGTGTTAGTATGGAGCTGGCTTGGAGCCAGGGCTTGAACAGGCACTTCAAGTATGGGATGCTGGCATCATAAGCAGTGTCTTAGCCCGCTGTGCCATACACCAGTCCCCAGAACCAAGCTTTCTTTCTCCCTCCAAATCTGATATCAGTGAAGTAAGGAGTTTTGCTTGTCCTCAGAGAGGTGTCACAGACTTTTGTCAAACTTGGTTCACTGGGTGTGGTGATAAATAATCTGCACGTGTGTTGATGTGTTTTATCAAGCTGATGAGAGCCCTTGTACTCAGCTAAAGGCTGCTGGGGACCATGTGCTAATGGGGTGGACATGCAGAACCAGTGACAGCCAGGTTACTCATCAACAGAGAAAGTGTCTACACAATGTCTCTTTAGTGGGGCAACGAGACCCGAAACATCACCCTCACCCGTGGCCAGGAAGGGCAGGGGACACAGGCACAGCCCCTGGGTGGCCACCCCTGGTCACAGTGCCTGAGCTGGATGAGCTCATAATGCAGGTAGCGTCCATGCCAGAGCTCTGCTGGGCAGGAGACAGAGGTACCAGGAAGAGAGTTCTCCATCTGGAGGGCTTCCACTGGGGGCTGTGAATGCCAGGATGGTGGGAGCCCTCTCTCCTGGGAAGGGAGCCTGTGTCTGAGTTGGAGTCCAAGGGACAGAGATGTGAGAGAAGGGGCTGGGGGCGGGGCAGAGAGAGAGAGGGAATGAATGAATGGGGCTGGTCCTGTCCTGGAGATCTGGATCCCAGTTCTAATGCAGGTTTACCATGGCACCCTCAGATCCCATGAGATCCCTCAGTGTCTGCGGATCTTTTGTAGCCCACAAGTAAGTAACTTGTCTTTCTTTTGTTCTCATTCTCTCTGTTGTCTTACTGTTCCTTACACTGGCTGATTGAGAGCATTCTGGGTAATGTAAGTTAGCTGTTGTGTGTGCACTCTGTGAGCTGACATAAAGTATGCCTCTGGAACTGACCTAAAGCTGTCTCTGCAGACTGCTCCCTGGACCCCCTGGCCTGTGGGCAGGCTGCCCCACCCCTCAGACATCTGGGGCTGCCTCTAACCTTGGGCTGTGTGGGTTCTGTTCCCAGCCCTTGGGACGCAGCCCCGCATGCTCATGTGCCATCATGTGTCCCCGCAGCATGCACCTGCACGCCTGGCAACTATTTACCTGCTTCTCCGCTAGGACTGTGTGAGTGCATGGGGACACGGGGGTTCCCAAAAGTCTGTGCATGGTGGAGTTAAGCTTGGGTGGATCACTCTCCAAGTATCTGCAATAGCCAGGGCAGGCCCAGGCTCAGGAGCTCAGAACCTCCATCCAAATCTCCCATGTGGGTTCTGGGACACGGTCACTTGAGCCATTACCTGCTGCCTCCCAAGCTGCGCATTCCAGGAAGCTAGAATCAGGAGCAGAGCTACAATGTGAATCCCAACACCCAGATGTGGGTTCAGGGTATCCTAAGTGGCTTCTTAACCACCACACCAGATGCTTACCCCCTCAAGTGATTTTTAATCAGTAAAGAAAATGGAATCACGGAGGCCAGCACTGTGGTGTAGCAGGTAAATTTGCCGTCTGCAGCCCCGGCATCCTATATGGATTCTGGTTCAAGTCCCAGCTGTTCTACTTCCAATCCAATTCCCTGCTAATGAGCCTGAAGACAGACCAAGTGCTTGGGCCCCTGCACCCTCATGGGACCCCCCAGAAAAAGCTCCTGATTCTTGGCTTCAGGACAGCCCAGCTCTGCCCATTGCAGCCATCTGGGGAGTAAACCCACAGATGGAAGGTCTCTCTCTCTCTCTCTCTATGTCTGTCTCTCTCTCTTTCTCCCCCCCCCCACTCTGCCTTTCAAATAAATAAATAAACATTTTAAAAATAAGTAAATTCTAAAAGAGAGACACTCAGGCACAGAGTGCAGGTTTATGTGAAAACATGAATGGGAGTAAAATTATAAAATCTTAATCAGAAAAACATTGGGAGAAGCAGAAAGAGCATGTATGTTCTGCTTTAAAGCCTGTTCCAGACCTAAAGTCATGCATTGTTTTGCAGACGCAAATATCGCGGTTTTCCAGTCCTGAAACATTGATAAGTTCTGATAGAGTCAGAGGCACGGTGCTTGGCGGGTAGCGAGGAAGACTTTGGTGACGTAAGCAGAACGTGGTCCACGCCTCCGTCTCCGAGGGGAAAGGCAGGCGCAGCATCAGACACGGGTGGCAGTGAGTCCCAGCGGGACAGACAGTCTTGGGTGGAAATAAAGAGTTACTAGATACTGTAACACGCTGTGTTGAACTTCTCTCTCTTGCTATTGTACTATCTCTGTACTTAGGCGTTGGGCTTTATACTTTTTTCCTAAAAACGCAGCCAGCTCTAGCTGAGAGCCGTGTCCCTGTATCTGTGCCCCAGTTTGCCAGTCAGCACCCATCGAAACACCAGACTCAGGCACACAAACTGTGTCCCTGCACTTTATTATTTTGAAACAACTCTAGAGCAGACAACAGTGTCCAGCTAATACAGGTGTGAGAGGAAAGTCAGCTGCCTTAGGCTCCCTTATGCATGGCTGTGTTAAAAACGGCCATCGGCATTTAATGGAAGGGAATGGCCGTGGCCTAAGGTGTAGGCCAGAGACTTAATTACGGGAGACATAGGCTCTCCATGACTGACTTCCTGTCTCTCCTTGGAGCTCCTGTCTCACTGAAAGCTCTGCGCTTTGCTTATCCCATTCCCTAAACGCATGAGGCTCATTTCTACCTCTCAGAAGTTAAACACAGCACTTCCTTTCCTTTTCTGGGTCATGTCTAGGTAGCCTGCAAAACTCAGCCAGCACTCACAACCTGTGGGAGGCCACCCATGAACCCAGCATTTTCCCTCCACTGCAAGGTCACACACAGTGCTGCCCAAGTCACGCAGAGTGCTGCCAGGTCAACACAGTGCTGCCCAGGTCATGAGAGTGCCCTGGGAGGAGGGATCTGCAAAGCTCATCCTAGGACAACAGAAAAGTGGGGGGCAGGAGGCTGGCCATGGAGAAGAGCAGACAGGGGAAGCCACAGCCAGGGCAGGATCCAGCTCATGGGGAACTCCCCAGGGGGAATGCCAAGTCATAGTCTACGGAAGGCCATGGCCAATCTTTCCATCCCAAGGCGGTGCCTGTGATGCACCAGTAGATAGGAGCTCTCTCTGCCTCTCAAATAATTAAGAAAAAAAATGAAAGAACCTTAGGAAACCTCCCCAGCCACACTTCAGCCACATTGCACTCCTGCAGCCACTTTCCAGGATAAATGAATAGGGCTCCCGAGGCTGGGTGAATGGGAGGGAGACCCTGGGCCTGACACAGCCCTCACCGGCGAAGATGCCGCTAGAACCTTCCACCCTCCATCCACCTGCTCTGCCCCAGCAACTGCGGAGAGCATAGCAGGTTTCTCTTCAGATTATGGTGCCATGAAAGGAAACAGCAGCTGGGGTTATGGATGGAAACAGAGAAAGAACATTTCAGGGCCTGTGGCGTTCACTGCCGTCTGTGGCAGCACCAACAAGTGCAAACAGTGAAGCCCACGGCGGAGAGGTTCATCGCACTGCGGGTTGCACAGATTATTATTCACGGGCACCACACTGCGGAGGGGAAGGAACAGCAGAGAAGGTGACCCAGGTGAGGAAAGGCCTGGAATCAGAAGATCCAGCTCAGCCCCTTCCAGTGCACGTGACCTCAGGCAAGTTAACGGATCTCTGAGCCTTCACGTTTCTCATCTAATACGGAACAGAAAAACTAGAACTATTCAGACAGAACTGCCCTGATCTTTCCACCCTGGCTACCTCAGATCCACCCACATCTAATCTAGCTATTTCCATCTCTCCCTTGTGCAACAAGGAGCATCTTACGGACTACCAGTTTCTGCTTAGCCACGGGGCGAGCCTGGCACCCTCTCCAGAGTGCAGCCTTCATTTTTTCCTAAAACCGTCACTTTCTCTCTCTGCTGGAGTCATTGTCAGTAACACTATGCTCCAGTATTGCCCCACTTAAAAGCCTCCACCATGTGCAAGACAAACCTCGGAGTCTGACGCCTTTCTCCAGTTACCGTCCACTGGTCTGGTTCTGGCACGGCAGAGAAGAGCTCTCTCCTTCTTCCCAAGGACTCTGGCCTCCGTCCTCCCTCCTGCGCGTGCCCAGTGATGTGAGTGGCCACTGCTTCCCTCTGTCCCCAGGCTTCCCTACCTCTCAGTGCTTGCCTCTCTCAGCTCCAGGTGCACCACCCCCATCGACTTGCAAACAGCTTTCAAATCCTCTCCACCTGTATCTCCAGCCACCAGCCCAGTTCAAGCTGTCCATCATGCACTAGGCTGTCCTTACCTGGTCTCCACGCTTTGACTCTTGCAGAGCAGCCAGGAGGTGTCTTCAAAAAGGGAAACTCAGGGAAAGCTGTTCCTTGACTCAAAATCCTTCAATGGGAGCCGAGGTTGTAGCACGGTGGGTTAAGCCACTGCCTGCAATGCTAGCATCCTATAGCTGCTCCACTTCTGATGCAGCTCCCTGTTAGGGGCTTGGCAAAGCAGTGGACGATGGCCCAAGTGTTTGGGTCCCTGAAACCTATGTGGAAGACCCAGATAAGCTCCCAGCTGCTGGTTTTGGCTTGGCTCAAGCCGGACCATTGCGGCCATCTGGAGAGGGATCTAGAGGGTGGATGATCTCTCTAGGGTTCTTTCAAATAAGTAATTTTTTTTTTTAAAGAGATAGGGATCAAAGCCATTTGAACTACAACTTAGAACTGCCAGCCCCAAGCAATGCATTTGTCGGGAATTCACTGCCCTGGGAGAGCGGAAGGAGCCACGCTCCACAGCATGAGCTGAGTCCAGTCTCTGGGGCCAGACTGCTAAGCTCAGATTCATCTGGGCCCAGGTGGGATCGAAGTAATTGTGTGCTTTGATTTCCTCATCTAGAAACTGGGGGTAAGGGCAGCACGTGGCCCCAAAGTGTGTAAATATAAACTATTAACCCATATAAATGTGTCTGGCAAGGGGTGGGCATTTGGTGAAAAAGTAGTTTAGGGTGCTGCTCGGAACGCCCACATCCCACTTGGGTTCGGGTCCCAGCTCTGCTTCCTGCTATTTTGCACCCTGGGAGGCTGCAGGAGGTGTTCAAGTATTTGGGGAACTGCCAGCTGCATGGGAGACCCAGGTAAAGTTCCAGGCTCCAGGCTGCAGTCTGGCTGTGCAGGCGTTGGGGGGTGAATTGGTGGACAGACGATCTCATCTGTCTCATTCAAATAAAAATTAAAAATAAATTTAAAAATCTTAAAAACATGTCTGGCATGTGACAACTTTATACATGTTAGTTATTATCCCAAGTAATCTAAAATAGAGAATGGGAGAAAATAGTTTGTTGAAAATGAATTTTTTAAATAATTATTTTATTTATTTGAAAGACAAAGTTAGAGAGAGAGGTAGGTCCAGAGAGAGAGTTCTTCCATCTGCTGGCTCACGTCCGCAAATGACCTCACAGCCAGAGCTGAGCTGATCTGAAGCCAGGAGCCAGGAGCCAGGAGCTTCTTCCGGGTCTCCCATGTGGGTGCAGGGGCCCAAGGACTTGGGCCATCTTCCACTGCTTTCCCAGGCCATAGCAGAGAGCTGGATCAGAAAGAGGAGCAGCCAGGACTTGAACTGGTGAACGCATGGCATGCCGGCACTGTAGGCCGGGGCCTTAACTCACTGCGCCACAGCGCCAGCCCCTAAATTGCTTTTCTGAGATGAGATAAACGAGGGTGTGTCCAGCTGGGCCTGGGGTGGGCACAAGCTGAGCTCTGGGGGCAGTAGGGGGGTTCACTGCTGGACCTGCCTTCCCTACCTGGGACTCCCAGCCCAGACTCCACCAGGAGACCAGCTCTCCTGGGTGTTGGGGACAGAAGCTTAATTCCCAGGGAACTGGGTAGAAGAGGGCGCTGCTTCACAGTCAGGCATACAGACATCTTGTAGTCAGTTCTATCTGTTTTCTGCTCTGGTTGGAGAACAGGTTTGAGACAGTCACTGACTGGTGTTGAGGTGCGGGTGGACAGTGCTGGTGAGAGCAGCACTGACCCAGACAGTGTACCAGCAGAGTTCAGAATCATGAGGTTAGCTTTGTGTATCAGGGTAAGCAGCCACTTGCCATGCCAGCATCTCATCTGAGAATGGATTTGAGTCCCAGCTGCTCAGCTTCTGATCCAGTTCCCTGCTCTAACGCACCTGGGAAGGCAGCAGCAGATGGCTTGAGTGCTTGGGCCACTGCCACCTATATGGGAAACCTGGATGCAGTTCCTGGTTCCTGGCCCAGTCCAGGCTGATGCAGCCATTTGGTAAGTGAACCAGCGGATAGAAGGTCTCTCTGTATTTATATATATCACACTGCCTTTCAAATAAATACATTTTAAAAAATTAAAGTTTTTAGGGATTCAAATCCAAGACTATGAAAGAACTTCCATAGCTCAAGAACAAAACCCCAAAGAACCCAATTTTTACAATGGGCAAAGATTTGGATAGGCATTTCTCCAAAGAAATACAAGTGGCCAACAAGCACATGAGAAGATGCTCAACATCACTTGTCGCTCCCCCACTCGCAGAGGAACGACACCAGACCCTGCGCTGTTCTTTTGCCCGGCCCTTCCCGGTTTGCTGCCAGCCCCCCACTCGCAGAGGAACGACGCCGTCCCGGGTAGCTGCCTCCCACCCCCCGCCTCGGTGGAGGAGCGGCAACCCCCGCCACTTTCCCCACTTCCGCGGAGGAGCAGCACACCACCGGCCGGCTCTCTCAGGGGCTGCTCAGATGTTTCCTCAGACGTTCCCTGGTGCACGTTGTCCTCTCTCCTCCTTTATAGTCCTCTTCCACCAATCCATGCTTTGCTGCCCACACGCCGAGCACGCTGCTCTCCTCCAATCAGGGGCAGGATCAGCTCCTGCAGCTTGTTGGTCGAATCAGTGAGGCAGCTGCATAGAAGTTGTTGCTGTCTCTCAGCGCCATATTGTGGGAGAGCAGATCATACAATTAGTCTTAGCAGTTCTAGTAACTTAGTCTCGGTTGCTCCCCACAATCACTAATTATGAGAAAGTGGAAAGAAAGCAAAACCACAATGAGATAGTGCTTCATTGGTATAGTGCCTATTACCAATAACCACCACCTAAAAACACCCCAGAGAGCAAGAAGTGCTAGTGTGGACGTGGAGAGGTGGGAAGCCTCGCACACTGCTGGTGGAAATTAAATGGCATAGTCACTATGGAAAACTGTATGGCAGTTCCTCAACAAAATTACACCCT